CCAGCCGTGGCCGCTGCGCCCGGCGCTCCGCTGGCGGCGGCTAATGCCGCCGCGCCGCCCGCGCCACCCTCTTATAACCTCGGCCTGGCGCGATGAGCTCACCGGCCCAGCTCGCCATTGGGCGCGGGTGACGTCGCTCATTTGCATGGATGGGCGGGGCTTGGCCGCCGCCGCCGGCCCGGCAGCCGTTGCCCCGGCGACACGCGGTAAACTGCACAACAATGCGCTGCCTTCTGGGTTGACGTCATGGAGGCGGGCCGCGCCCCCAGCCCGGGAAGCCAGCCCCGGGAGCGCTATTTACGGCCGAGGCCCCCAGCGCCGCCTCCCGCCAAGGCACGTCCGGGGTGGCGTGATGAGTCCGGCCCGGCCCTCCCGCCGCGAGGCCCCGCCCCCGTCCGCGCGTCGGTCCCCGGCAGGCGGGAGCGAGGGCGAGGGCGGCGGTGGCGGCCAGCCCCAGGGGACCAGAGGGGGATGGGGCCCCGGGTGGATAAATAACTCGCTGGCGCCTCCGCGACAGTACGCCGACAATGCCTCGATTAGCGCGCGTTCTGGGCTGGCTTTGTGCGCGCGGAGGCTGTGCGGGAGGCTCTCCGGTGGGGGGGGGGCCCGCTGCGGTTCCTGGGGTGTGTTTGCCCCAGGAAGACGGGGGAGGGGAGGGGAGAGCCTGTAGAAGTTGCTGGAAGCGCTTTGATCCTGATCTTTTTCACTGGGTGCTGTTTAGAGCGCGAAGGCCTACTTCCTGCCTTTACAGACGGGAAACTGAGGCTCGGTGAGGCGGGGTGACCTGCCCCGAGGGCACGCTGGGAGTCTACAAGGCCACGACTGGATCCGCCCCATAGAACCTAGGCGCCCCAGGTGCCTGGGCAGCTACTTCCTTCAGCCACCCACGGTCGAACTTTGGTTCTACCAGAGACAGTTGTGGGTCCCAGGATGAGGGTTCCCCTCTGTGCCCTTCCCCCCGCCCCGCTCCCCGCCCCCCCCCCCTCACCGCAGTTCTCCCGCTGCCCCAGGGCTGGGCCAGTGAGGCAGGAATCTGGCAGCTGGTAATTATTACCTGCTTGTTACTATTACCGTGGTTGTTAAGCCTTAATGGGCCGCTATTAAGGCTAGCTGGGGAGGGGATCATCCCCCTCGCCTGGACTCCCAAAGGATCGTTGAGCTATCTGGATCTGTGAGGCTTTCCCAGTTCACTCCTCCTGCAGGCTCCCTGCTGCCTTCAGAATACTGCCCACTCCTCCCTCTGACCCCTATCTGACCTCCCTGTCACCCTCTCAGATCCAGAGCCTCTCAGCTGAACCTCCCAACTCCTCCCTGCCTCAGGGCCTTTGCATGTGCTATGCCAGCTCCTAGTGAGAGAGCCAGAGTGCTCATCCTCAGGGAGGCCCCAGACATTGCTGTCGAATCCTCAAGAACCATCAGAAATTAAGGGGTGCACCATGAGCCCCCGGAGGACAGAGACCTTATCTATCTTGGGCCTGAGTGCCCCTGGCTCCTCATCTGTTTTGGACCTGCAGATCTCTGTCACACAGTGAGTGCTCAGTAAACGTATGTGGAGCTGGAACACTGCCTCGCCGGGTTGGTTGCTGTGGGTGGTATCTGGCCTCAGTTTGTCCGACTTGCCTGTGGGTGTGAGCACCCCCTCTTTTGCCTCCTCTGCCCATGCCACCCCACCCCCACTTGGGCTCTGGGGCAAGATCAGGAAGGGGAGAGGCTGGCACCATCGGCAAGGAGGTCTGGCAGCCTGGGGTGTCCCTCTCGAGGACTGAGGTGTGGATTTGTTTTGTCTCCAGACAGGAGGGGCCTTGTTTGTGTGTCCTTGTGTGTCTGGGTGTGTGTCTATGAATGTAGCTCTGTGTGCCCATTGTGTCTGTGTGGTTTACCTGTGTAGTGGGTCTGTGGGTGTGTCCATGTGAGGGATGTCTGTATGTGTGTGTTCATGTGTCTGTGTATCTGAGTGTGTCATGTGTGTCCATGTGTGAGGTCTGCATGCTGTGTGAGCCCATGTGTATGTCCATGTGTTGGGTATCCGTGGTTCTTTGTGCTGTGTGTATGTCTGTATACTTGGGTGGAGTGTGTTCGTGTGTGTGTGCGCGTGTGTGTGTGTCCACATGTCCGTGTGTAGGGTCTCCGTGCCATGTGGGTCCATATGTGTGTCCATGTAAGGGGTATCTATGGGTCTTTGCTGTGTGTGGCTGTGTGTGTATGTGTCCATGTGAGTCCATGTGTCTGTGGGTCTGTGTGCCCTCTAAACCTTTCTTCCTGGAGCCAAGTCCTAGCCTGGGCAAAGGGACTCCATTGGGAGATTTGGCCCCCACCCTGTAGCCAGCACTACCCTGGGACCCTCTTTGGACCTCAGTTTACCCACCATGCTGTGGATCAGATCAGAAGTGATGAGCTGTGCTTCTCCCCGAGGCAGAGATGGGAGGGTAAGTGGGCAGCCAAGCCAAGTCCAAGTTATCACAGGCCCCGCCCTGACCTTGGACCTTGGCCTTAGCAGATGGGGGCAGGCCTGGGAGCCCTGGGCAGAGCCAGCCTGAGCTGAATGGTGGATGGGCAGGCAGGCCTTGGAAACTGAGGCACATGGAGGCCAAGGTAGATGCCTGAGGCCTCATATTCAGAAGGCCCACCACCTTCAATTCTCTGCCACTCCCTGGCTGTCACCTTGAGCCAGTCACTTCACCTCTCTGGGTCTCCTTTTCATTCTCCTGAAAGTGGAGTACAGTGATTATTGTTGGGGGGATTTGAAGAAATTGTAAGGGCTCAATTAACATTTCCTGTCATTGTTTTGGAGCGTTGGTAGCACAATAGTTAAGAACTTGTCTGCTAACTGAAAGGTTGGCAGTTCAAATCCACCAGCCTCTCCTTGGAAACCCTATGGGGCAGTTCTACTCTGTCCTATAGGGTTACTATGAGTTGGAATTGTCTTGACAGCAATAAATTTTTTTTTTTTTTTTTGGATCATTGATTTACTTTATTTGACCAAGCTTAACTGCAGTTCTTTGGTCTGGAGTTCCCTCCACCTGGAGTACCCTTCCTTCACCTCCTGGGAAACTCCTATTCATCTCTCAAAACCCACCTCCAATGCCCCTTCCTCCAAGAAACCTTTCCTGACCACATCCCTCAGAGCTCCCCAGAATTCCCTGTATAGCCAGTCCTGCTTCTCCCTGTTTGTGTTTGGCTCTGTTTCCCTCAGACTGGGGTGGCGGGGATCGTCAGGGCTGGGCAAAACCCATTGCTGTCAAGTCGATTCCCACTCATAGCAACCCTATAGGACACAGTAGAACTGCCCCATAGGGTTTCCAAGGAGTGGCTGGTGGATTCGAACTGCTGACCTTTTGGTTAGCAGCCGAGCTCTTAACCACTGCACCACCAGGGCTCCTACGTCTGGGTAGGGAGGATCTATTCTGGCCATACAGTGTGGGGCCTGCCCTTGGCAGCCTCTGTCACCTCTTTTGTCTGTGCACTTGCTGTTCCCTCTGCCCCTGATGTCCTTCCCCACCCCCTCCTTCTTGAAGTAGAAAATTCTTCCTCCCAGCCCCGCCCCTCCATCTGACCCAGCCCTGACCCCAAGGAGCTGGGAGCCGCTGTATCCAGTTCTGTCCCCCAAGATGGGAGCTCCTCAGGTTGAGGCTGAGGCCTCCCAGGCAAGGTGGGGAGCCTAAATCCCACGCAGGGAACTCCGGGTAACTTTCATTCATTCATTCACCATACTCTGAGCACGTGCTGTGAGTTGAGAGCTGGGACACACGTGGACACCATTACCCTGGGGACCCAGTCTGAGGGGGAGCCAGACAAACCTGGCTTCGAGGTGAGTAAATGATGCCCCCACTCCAAGGAGGGAAAGGGTTTTAGAGTCAGTAATCTTCGAGGCCACCACCCGTCTGTCAGTTTCTAGTACTGTAGTGGCTTGCATGTTGCCATGACACTGGAAGCTGTTGTTGTTAGGTGCTGTGGAGTCTTATTTCAACTCATAGCTACGCCATGTGACAGGGTAGAAATGCCCCGTAGGGTTTTCTAGGCTGTAATCTTTACAGGAGCAGATCCCCAAGTCTTTCTCCCATGGAGCTAGCTGCTGGGTGGGTTCGAACTGCCGACATTTCAGCTAGCAGCCAAGTGCTTAACTGTTTTGCCACCAGGGCTCCTTTGCTGGAAGCTAGGCCACTGGTATTTCAAACATCAGTAGGGTCAACCATGGTGGGCCAGTTTCAGTGGGTCTTCCAGACTAAGACAGACTAGGAAGAAAGTCCTGGTGATCGACTTCTGAATGTTAGCCGGTGAAAATCCTATGGATCACAATATTGGCCAATATAGTGCTGAAAGACAAGCCTCCTAGGTTGGAA